TGTTAAAGCCACGAACGCTAGAGCGGACCGCGCGCGGATGGTCAAATGGGTTATACTGATACCTTAAAAATTTTGCTTTGGCAACTTAATTAAATGAACATAGCTACGGTGGCCTGTAAGGGACTGCTCGATATTTTTCATTGTCACATAAAAACTTTTCCTTTGGCGACTTCATAAATAATCATAGCTTTCTTTTTTTTGTCTTTCTTTGTCTCTCGACCGCGATTTTATTAATCGCGATCGCGACTTATAACTTTCGATCGCAACTCATAACTCTCGATCGCGACTTATAACACTCGATCGCAACTTATAACTCTCGATCGCGACTTATAACTCGCGATCGCAACTTATAACTCTCAAACACAACTTATAACTCGCGATCGCGACTTATAACTCTCGATCGCAACTTATAACTCGCGATCGCGACTTATAACACTCGATCGCAACTTATAACTCGCGATCGCAACTTATAACTAGCGATCGCGAGTTATAAGTCGCAAGTAAGTTGCCATCGCGAATTATAAGTTGCGATTGGTAGTTATAAGTTGCGATCGAGAGTTATAAGCTTCGCTTGCGGGTTATAAGTTGCGATCGAGAGTTATAAGTTGCGATCGCGAGTTATTAGTCGCGATTGCGAGTTATTATTTGCGATCGCGAGTTATAAGTTGCGATCGAGAGGTATAAGTCGCGATCGCGAGTTCTAAGTTGCGATCGGTAGTTATAAGTTGCGATCGAGAGTTATAAGTTGCGCTCGTGGGTTATAAGTTGCGATCGAGAGTTATAAGTTGCGATCGCGAGTTATAAGTCGCGATTGCGAGTTATTAGTCGCGATCGCGAGTTATTAGTTGCGATCGCGAGTTCTAAGTTGCGATCGAGAGTTATAAGTCGCGATCGCGAGTTAGAACTCGCGATCGAGAGTTATAAGTGCGATCGCGAGTTAAAAGTTGCGATCGAGGGTTATAAGTCGCGATCGGAGAGTTATGAATTGCGATCGAGAGTTATAAGTTGCGATCGCGACTTACAAGTCGCGATCGCGAGTTATAAGTCGCGATCGAGAGTTATAAGTTGCGATCGCAAGTTATAAGTCGCGATCGAGAGTTGTAAGTTGCGATCGCGA